TGCTAGCTGCTTTTTCAGTTATTTCTACTCTTTCATAGTACAGTGAAATAGATGACCCATACAGATTCTTTTTCCTGGAAGAAAAGCATCCTAAAGAGTCTTTTTCTTCTATTTGAACTAGAACACCTTCTCTACAAGGCTGCAAGCTGTTATGCTGGATTAAGGATGGTGGCTTATCCTTGGCACTGTTGTGTAGCCAAACTGTTCATGATATAAGATCACAGCTCTCTCAACTTTGCAGTATGGGTGCTTTTAGTATGCATAGCTGCATATGTTATGCGACCTGTGGTGCCGCCAATCTGGGCCTGCCCTTTGGTCTCTCCTCTTCAGGTCCCTGTCTCTTCCTCTCTGATATCAAGGGACTCCCTACCTTTCTGGGTCTTCATTCCTCAGGAGCTCTCAGGGAGGAGCTCATCCTTCAGGCCTCTAGCCCCCAGGCTGAGAGCATTTTGCCATCTTTACATTTTCCTGTAACTAAGGGGTAATTCAGGCTGTGATGCTCTTTAGAGTAGCCCTCAAGATGATGCTAGTCCATTCCAGGAGTAACAACCCCAGAGTAAATAATTCTGCAAACTGCCCCTGTCATAATTTGAAACAGCATGCTGCTGGGTGGCCTTCTGCTCCTTGAAAATTCATATGGGGGCTGCCTAAGACTTAAACTCAGTCACCAAACTCAGGTGCATTCCAGCAACAATGTTCTTGTGTAGTTTTCAGTTAAAGATGTACCACAGAATCAGCTTACTGGTGTCCCTGCAAGAAGAGATTCATTTATATCTGAGGAGGGTGTAGACATGTTATATTTGTGCAGAGTTTCATGTCATGCGTGGCTCAAGCCAGTTGCTTACCCAACCCAAAATCTAGAGTTACTGTAGTTGAAGAGGGTTAAGCAGAGCGATTCATGCCATCATTAGCAAGCAGAAGACAACGTGAAACACATTCAGCCTGTGCTGTTTATGGGAGCCCTATACGAGACGATGCAAAAATATGGAAAGCTCATGCTATTACTAAAGAAGAAATATATATGATTTGCTTTCTGCGAAGTTAGGCTGATGCTCTCTGTTCTTTCAACATCAAACTGCTTATGTTCTCTGCCTTTTTCCTACTTTTTTTTTTGTTATTTTTTCCCCCCTAAAGACCATAAAAGTTTAAAATGGAGGCTTTATATATGAGTGGTTGTGTCAAGAAAGTGAACTTTCCTTACTGACAGCTTTTTTACAGCTACTATTTACAGCTACTTTTTTACAGCTACTATGCAGAGAGAACTGGGGAGAGGCTCAGAGCTGCCAGATAACCTTCTACTGTGGCAAGAGGAATTCTGGCCCAGTTAAATGTAGCCATCTCCACTACATGCTGAGAGATCTGCAAGTCCAGCGTAAAGTTCAGTGAGTCTCAGCTGAACAGGAGAGCAACTTTTCTGGAGGAAGCAGAAGGGAGGAGTTATCGTAGGATTAAATTATAATCTTTCTTGGAACTTACCAGTATTACATTTCTACTTAAAGTTTTCAATGATGCTTTCAAATATTAGTTCATTGTTGTCCAAAGAAGGAGAGAGGGAGAGCATACATTTGTGTATGTGTGTGTATGTGTTTGTTTTATATACAGAATCGTTGTTGTAGGAATTCCTTGTCCAAAATTCTGTTTTTTCTGATGTGGACTTAAATATCGGAATAACGCAAAGTGTCTGCATGTGCTCAACACCTTGACGTGATGTTGATATGGCACAGTGAGGAAACAGTTGAATTCCCTCTCACCAAGTGGGCCCGGGCAGTGGAGGCATCCTGCCCCAGGTATCGTCTGTATTAATGGCCAGATCTTCACTGCTTCCAGTCTCAGAGCAAACGAGCTCAGAAATAAGCCATGTGTTTCTGCACAGCATCACATTTTTCTCGGTAATCAAACCTGAACAGGTGCGTCACTTCTTGTACAACACCACAGGAAAGAGCAATAAATCAATGTTAAATGTGTAAAAAATGCTCTTTTGTGTTCATGGACTCTACCAGCCTCTGAACAAAGAAATCACAGAGCTGACGTGTATAATATAACAGGAGCAAGAAGTCTATTAAACATGACCCTTCTGCCAGGCTGCTAGTAGTAGCTGACACTCTGCCAGGAGTAACCCTAGAAATTTGTCTTAGAACAACGCTTTGTGTCACATTCTACTAAGAAAATTAGGGAAAGCAACCTTGTACCTTGCTAAACACTGAACCCCGGGCAAGGAAACTGTTGTTAAAAAGGGAAGAAATGCAGTATATTTGAGCACGCTAATAAAACTTAGGTGAAGGATACCAGAACGATGAGTACTGCATTGCCTGTTGGCGTGGCAGTTTGGCACACTATCAGCATAGAAGAACTGGAAAGGTCGCAGCAGGGGTGAGGGAAGGGGACCGTATCTGATTGTGCCGCATAAGAGTGGTATAGGCATAAAAGACCAAAAGCATCTGTTCAATGCCGTATGCCAGCCTCTGAGGCATGGGTAAGCTTTATATTGCCCAAATTAGGAATGTTTCAACTACGTAACCTGACTGTAAATTCCTCTGCTGTGCTTAGGGCCTGGGAGGTTGCAGCACAGTGTGTGCACATGGAAGAAGCTGAAGAATGGGGTCAGGCAGAGTCTTCGTTGCTGATGAACGACATAGCAAAACTTCTACTTTCTCCCTGGGGAACAGCCCAGCCCCTGTTCATGCTTTCTTCCTCCCTCCCTCCCTTGCCATCCTGCAAAGGTCCGTCTGTGCCAGGAGGTGGTGCCAGGACAGGCAGGCAGGTGAACAGAATTGCAGCAGCGCGAGGCTTTACAAGACCCATTCCTTGCAAGAGGTGTCCTGGAATTGCTCCCCACCCAGATGTGCCGAAGCAGCTGGAGGCTGCCCTGCTCCCACAGGTTCTGCCTTCCCCAGCTAGGCAGCAAGGATATTAGCCCAACATGGGGTGGGGTGAGATTACTCTGCCCCCTAGACCTGCAGGGTAAGTCCTGATCTCCCAGGGCTATTCATACCCTGAGACCCGGTTTTGTGAAACGATGCTGTAAAGGAGCCTTGGTAGAATCTCAAGCTCCTGCGTAATGCAAGTTGTCATGGTCATTAATAACACCAATCAGTTCATAGACAAACCATAAAATAACACTCACCTGGTTTAAGGGTGGGAGTTTTCCCTCCAAAGGCCCAGATACAGAAAGTATCTAAGCTTCTAAGCTCCAGTTACAATAACTGGATTTTCACTGGGAAAGTAAATGTTTGAAGTTTAAAAGCCTTGTGAATAGGGGTTTCTGAGCCAGTGGTGCTTCTTAAAAAGGCGAGGAATTTCCAACCGGTGAACACCATTCCGGTTTTGCTGCCCCAATGCGAATTACAATCCTAAATCACCAAGCAAGAATTGGAGGTATGATGCAGTAGGCACTGGCCACAGCACTAAGCGGTGCCCCCAAGCACTCTGCAGGGTGACAAGCAGATGGAAGTGGAAGGAACATATGATGCCTCCTTCCACCCTCCAGGCAGGCATCCTGCCTGACATGGGGCTGTGATCCGCCTGTGCCTCCCTCCGGCTGCTGAGCATGTGTTTAAGTGCCTGTGTGTGCTTGTGTGTCCTCATCCATAACTTTGTGCTGCGTGTGTGCTCTCAAGAGAAGGTGACTTTCCCACTAAGGGTCCTGCTAAGTCCTTACTTCCCTGAAAGATTGTTGCAAAACCTGTCTTCTACGGCAGATCTTTTTATGGCTTATTCACTTCTACCCACCCCCTGGGAACAGGTAGCCACTCCCTTTGTCCTCACCTGTCCCGGACATTTATAGAAGAGATGGGATGCCAGAGACGGAGACATCTACACACTAAGAGCTGAAGAAGCCCTTAAAGGAAAGGAGTATTTGAATTGCTTTGAAAAGGAGATATTTTCTAGCTCACAGCAAGAGGACAACATGAAAAGCCTTGGGTGCATTTCAAGGTAAGGACATACGAAGAGAAACATCATGGGCGCAGAATTATAAATGTATTTGTAGAAAGGTCAAATTTAAATAGTTCAAGTAACCCGTGTAAGTGATTAATAAGCTACGGAATTAGTTACAGTTTGCTCCAGGGCAGAGATTAATTTTGCCATGAGTGTTTCTTGCTGTATTCCAGGTCTTTTAATTTGAAAGAATCTTGTTATGTCAACACAGATCTTCAGAAGTCTGTTGATTTTCAGTTTAATCCAAATAAACAAAATTCTTGTCCTAAACCTTAAAGCAACTGTAGCAACATATCCGAAATGCTACCATTTTGTCAAAAGGACATTTACAACCTGAGCTGTAGTTTTCAGTGCCATCCAGTGTTACACTACCTCAGAGGTTTTCTTTTTTTTTTTTTTCATTTTCTTCCCGCCTGGAAGATGTCACACTTTAGCTTAGAAAGCAGAGCTGAACCTCTGGTGATAGTCACGCTGACAGCCGTGGCAGTTTTTAGGCTTCTTGGAAGGATTTGTCTTTAAAGGGTCTGATCAACTCATAGGGGGGTTTCTCAGAGGAATTTCCCTCTCCTCAGCCCTGGCGAGGCCTCACCTGGAGTACTGTGTCCAGTTCTGGGCTCCCCAGTCCAAGAGAGACATGGCCCTACTGGAAAGAGTCCAGCGGAGGGCTCCAAAGAGGATGAGGGGACTGAAGCATCTCTCCTCTGAAGAAAGACTGCGAGAGCTGGGCCTGTTCAGCCTGGAGAAGAGAAGGCTGAGAGGTGATCTGATCAATGTGCACAAGTATGTGAAGGGGGAGTGTCGAGAGGATGAGGCCAGCCTCTTCTCCGTGGTGCCCAGCAATAGGACAAGAGGCAATGGGCAGAAACTGAACCACAGGAAGTTCCATGTGAACATGAGGAAAAACTTCTTGACTGTGAGGGTGACAGAGCATTGGAACAGGTTGCCCGGAGAGGTAGTGGAGTCTCCTTCCCTGGAGATATTCAAAACCCGTCCGGATGAGATCCTGGGAAACATGCTCTAGAGGTCCCTGCTGGAGCAGGGAGGTTGGACTAGATGATCTCCAGAGGTCCCTTCCAACCTAAATGATTCTGTGATTCTGTAGTGACTGACATATGTCAGCGTTCCCAGAAAAAAGCACATGGTGCTACCCTTTGCCTTTGAGACCACCTTACTCAGCTACATCCTGACTCAGACTGCTGGGAGGAACAGAGACTCCTAGCACTTGTTAATATTAGCACAATTTTGCACTGTTAAAACTCAGTCCAGACCCTCAAGGCAGCCAAACTAATGGAGCATGAGGTAGAACTGATGTTACTCTGTTTCACTCTATGACACCGGCAGAAGCCACATCATAGGCACCTGTATTACACCAATGGACATTTCTCTCAGACAAGGTCTTAAACTAAGAAACTTGAGCTCAGGGACTAACATGACTGTGCAGTTTGCATCACATCCAAGTGCTGCTGTAGGCAGAGTGACCCATCCAAATGTTTAGCTTCAAGGAAAGAGGAAGACAGAAGACAAGATTTAGTTCTTCAAAACCAGGACTGAAACCACAATTGTCAGTCTATGAAGACTTTCAGAAAAAGAGCAAAACACTTGCAAGTCACTATAAAAAACTGTGACAACTTACCATTCACATCTAGGCCCTGTAATGTACTTTCAGGCTTGTCAGTTGACTCCTCCAATATCCCTGCATCAATGCAGGGCAGTACTCTGTGATTTGGTGTTGTTCCAGGCTCTGTCCTTGCAGGGGGCTCAGGCTGAGGCCTCCGACTCTCCTCTTTTTTATACCCCAAGTCCTTGTGTGGAGACTTCCTCAACTTGGCAGGATTCTCCGATTCCTCCTCCTCCTCAGATCCGCAAACAGAAATAAACTCTTCACTTCCAGAAAAAAGCTCCGATTCAGACTCCTCATCTGACCGACTTTCCTGCTTGGCCTGTGAGGAATCAAAATGCGTCTCCTGTAATGAGGCTCTGATAGCAGCTTCCAACTGGCTGTCCTCACTGGCATCAATGAGACTCTCCTGTTGAACGCAGGCATAACACAAAGGTGTAAGAAGAATGCTTTTAGACACATATCCATATCAAAGTGTTCCAAAGGGAAGCTATTAAAGCTTTCAGGAATAAGTGGCATGGAAGCCCAGTCATGCAACCAGTGCTTAAGGATTTGTCCTTGCAGTGTCACATGGAGTGATATTTTTCAGTAGTATTCTTTCATTCTACACAGGCACAATTCTGTGACTGCTAAATTCAAAACAAATACTGAGCACAATTTTTACAACAAAAATAATCATCAAGGGAGAAAGTGTTCTCTGATGCATCATCTTTTTGTTTTTGTATACTCTTGCTCTAATTCATTATGTCTGTTTATACCAGCAAATGGGAAATCAGTACAACTGCAAATAGGCACGCTAGACTTTCCTTCAAGTTTCTCCAGTCCTCATACTTACAGAACGAGAACATTTTTGGGGAGGGCTAGTAGAATGCCCATCCAGTTGTCCATGCTCACTCAGGAACCCAGTCACTTGGTCCAAGAAAGAAGTTACATCTAGCTGGTGCCACTCCACTAGTTTCTGGCCTAGGGAACATAAGGCATCATGGAACATAACTTCAGCAACAGCCCTCCAAAGATTGCAGCTTAGCTGTCGAACAAACAAACAAATTCACTGCTGTGTACACACTGTGCAAGAGTCCACATTTGTGGAACTTCAGCTTCATACAGGCCACCTCCTGATAATTACATTTCCTCCCTTCACTGCCTTGAAAAGGTTTCACTCATGTAGAGCCACAAAGACAGACCTGCTTTAATACAGTTATCATCATTTTTCTATATTCATGGGAATGTGTGTGCAGAATGGTAAATTACACATCACAATTAAAAAATAAACAAACATAAAGCAATTAAATTTATGAAGAAGAATTTCTACATTTTCGTCTGCCCTGCTTTGATTCTACATCTTAGTAGACAGCATTTGTTTCCATAATGTAAAGAGTTAAGAAGAATACCCTAACTTCAGTTTCAAAGAACTAGTTTAGTTTCTGGGGGTTTTGCATCAAAGAACGTGATCATTTCAGTGCTGAGAAGCAGGAGACTAGATTGCTAATATAGTAGATTACATGATGATAAAAGAGACAAGGCTGTTGGGATACAGAAAAAAAAAGTTATGATTTCCAAAGACCTGGAGGTGAACGAAGAAGTTTGATTGTTCAGTTTAAAAAAAAAAAAAAAAAGACAAAACCAAAAGCCAAACTGGCATTTCAAAATTAAGATACAATTTAATGAGTTATCTCTGAGCCTCACAAAGCTATTGTGCCAGGGACAGGAAGCAGACTTGTATTCATTTGGTTTTAATATTAGCTCATTCATTACATGATTTCAAGTAGCTTTTAAGAGCTTTTACACTTACAGCCATGTCAGTGTTCCAAGGGAAGCATCAATAAATTTCAATTCACAGTTTTACCACTAGGCGGTACTCATTTCATTTCCTAAACAAAATATTTGGTAAGCTAAACAAAGTCCCATAATCAAACACACACATAATTTGAGCAAACCTTAGGAGTTTCATTCCTTTAGTTCTTCCAAAGGATATTGTTTCACTTCTTCAGCAACACCGTGGTCTCTCACAGAATGAACAAGGTAACTGAGATGCTTCAGTTGCTGTCTAACACACACTGCCAAAGACAGTATTCTAGCCTGTAACTGCCAGTCCTTCTTACAGGATATATAAACTGCAGATAACTGTAACTTATCTTACCTGTTCTGGGGTCCCTTGACTGTGAGGGTGACAGAGCATTGGAACAGGTTGCCCAGAGAGGTAGTGGAGTCTCCTTCCCTGGAGATATTCAAAACCCGTCCGGATGAGATCCTGGGAAACATGCTCTAGAGGTCCCTGCTGGAGCAGGGAGGTTGGACTAGATGATCTCCAGAGGTCCCTTCCAACCTCAACCCCTCTGTGATTCTGTAGTTTCAGAGCACTGATTTTCACACTGTGGATGGCTAGATAATTTCTATCCAAAGTTCATACTCTGATTTTCTCTCTTGAACCTTCTTTTTAGAAGACTGTATTATGTAGCAGAAATATAAAGTAAATAAAAGTAAACAAAAATTATAAAGTAGCTAGTGGCTCACTGGCAAAGGGTGCTCTGAATGTACTCTCCTACTCTCAGTTATGGTAGGCTTCATGTACTCCAGATGAAAAGCTTCCTTGCTGTCATGCTATGAAGGAAGAAAATATTGCAGCAGGAAGTTGTGCATCATGCTCTGTACATTCCCACTGATATACCTGCCAGTTATGAAATCACTCTGCTTACTTAGTGTTTTAACTGTTCATAGTGTTTCACAGATAAACATATGAAAGATTAGGTGTGTCTTCTGTAATGCCGGATATTTACACTACTCATCTTAAACATTTGTGCTCAAGATAAGCAATAGCAATAAGCTCTTAGACAAGTGGGATGTGTCTTTCTATAAGGGACTAAAGGATGGAAGTTATTTTAGGCCAGTAGCCCAACACACTAACTTAATATTTTGAAATGGCTTAGTTAGATACTTGCAGTCCTGTAACAACAGTATGTTTATTGCAAAGGGAACAGTCTTTTAGATCAATACCGGCTTTTACAGAAATGTGCCAAGACAGTGAATGCAGAACAGCAGGTCGAGAAGGCATGCTGAAGGCTGTGATACTCTCTGCGCTTTTGCTAAGGGTGGCCAAGTCCAGGGGCTGAAGGGCCCAGGGTATTCCTCCCCTCCTGGGTCAGCCAGGATGAGCGGCTGCTCCTTCTCTCCATTGCCACAGCCGGCCAACAGAGAGGCTGAGCACAAATTCCTGGTATGCACATGCAGGCACACGCATATGCACGCGCGCGCGCGCGCGCGCGCACACACACACACACACACACGCGCACATGCACGCACGCACACACACGCACACATGCACACACACACACACATGCACAGATTAACGCAGACAGGAGGATAGTGCCTTATAGGCACCCACATCAGCACAGACAGCAGAAATAGCACACCTGCTTTCTAAGGAAACTCCCTTCATGAGTCACCACAGCATCCAGCTCCCAGACTGGTCTCTCCCAGACCCGCAATATCTTTGGTACCCAGTTCCCAGACCTTCAGTCACTCCAGCGTTTGGTTCCCAGACCCTCAGTCTCTCCAGGACCCAGCTCCCAGTCCTCTCAGGCTACTCACTGGCTAGTCCAGCCTGATGCTTGCTACCAGATCCCACATGCACAGAGACCTAACGGTGACCTATTTGGCTCTGGTATCTTCTCCATTCAGGTATTCCTATTTCTCAACTACAGAAGAAGACAGTTTATACAATTTTTCCATTCATATATATTCACATATTTGCTTGAAGAATCTAAGGCAAAAGTCACAGAATTCACCTGTATTAAAAAAAATTCAGCAGTCAAATATGTCTATGTTCCACATTGCAACTTGGGTCGTTCAGGTCTTTCCATTAGGAGCTTCTTTCATGGCCCAGAACATCCCATTTTTGCTGTGGGTCCGTGATGGACAGCTTCCCTATGATGGACAGCATTCCAGGAAGAAGGCAAATATTCAGTATTGCCTTTTATCCACCGGTTACGAGTGCATATTATCCAAACTTTGCAACTAGTTGGAGTTCATTACCTGACTCTCAGGCTTCCTGCCAGCAGTCACTGTGATGCCAGATGAATCTCATGAGCACTTGGGAGAGTAGGGAACAGGAGTATGAATGTCCTATTCTGTAAATGAGAATGTTTTTACTCAAAATAACTTAAAGCCCAAGCCAGGTCCACTGCATTTTGGAAAACATAGCTCAAAATATGGAGTTCACGCTAAGTTTAAAAACTTGTAAGTTAAGAGAAACTAGCTCAAGTCTGCTGGTGAAAATTTCCTTCTGGTGGGCAGTTGATCATCAAATGACAGCAGCCCTTTGAAATATTCTATAACTATGCCAGCTAGAATAAAGTGATAATTTGGGTGCCTAATTAGTGTAATATCAAAGGGTTTCATTCACCTTTTTTCATTCTTCAAGCAAAACAGTAGCCATGAGTAGATAAGGTGCCTGGTCCAGACCACTGTCGCTGAGCTTAGGCAATTTAAAGTCCGATCAAGGTGAGACAAGCTGATGAAAGCCTGACGGAGGCATGGGTAAGGCTGAGGAGGAGAAGCTGTCATTGAGGTAAAGGTGCGCATGTGGTTGCAGAGGGAAAGCAGTCCTCTGGTTTGGAAAGCAGAGTCTGTTGCCAATTCTGTTGGGTTTTTATTCTTTTTTTTTTTTATATTGAAAAACTCAGTTCAGTGTTTCTCTTAGATCTCCATATTCTGGGGGCATTTCTCAACAGGCGAACTCAGGAGTCACGGATTTTACCTCCAAATGGTTAAACTGTAGAAGGAGTTGGGATTTTTTATTAAGGAAATCCCTATAATCCCTATTAAGTGGTAATTTTCTAGCTCTTGGTGGCTATTGAGAAAAGCGAGAAAAGATGAAATGATTACCCTCTAAAGCCCCAGAAACCAAAAGGCAAAACAAAATTAAAGGCAGAGGAACAGAGCGGAAGGCTGTTTGAAGTGTTTATCAGGCTCTGTTTGATGTAGCTTCTGTGCTGTGGCAAGTCAAAATTAAAAGACAGTGATTATAAGTACCAAAGTTACTAATACAGCTGGGGGGCATCAAAGGTATCAAGAAGAAACAATGATCCAGGTGATAAAGTCCCAAAGGCAGCATGCAAAATTTGGTGCATCATGTTTGGGGAAAAGGTTATCTTCTACCAGATAAGATTCACTGAAACTCTACTTTCTTTCCAGGCATATCAAATATCTCATTTTTTTCAACCTTTGGCTGGGACTTGTCTTCCTGTCTGGATTCTTCCATGTGAATAAAAACATTCTGCCGTAAGTTCAGCAGTAGTAAGTGCATCTGGTTACATGACTTTATCTGTGCAGGGAAGTAAGAAACTGACCTATGACACTTCATTTAACTCTCATGAGATTTTGGCTAAGATTAAAAGAGCAGCAGCCCAAAATTAGGTCCTAGATCCATATTTTAGCATGCAAATAAATGATTGAATTAGCCAAAGTGCAACTCTTCTGAGCAAAATCTGCCACGCAGAAATGGAAAAGGGGATCAGGCTGACACCTTTGAGCCCTCCCTCCTCTGCCTGGTAAGTGAGGACCAGTGGAAGCAGAAGATCAAAAGACTGTCTGACATCTGGAGCTAAGGGAAGGGGCTTGTTTGGTGCAGTGACTTGCACCAGCTGCAAGTGCGATATCAGAAGGAAAGCCTGCTCGGGTTTGATTCCTGAAACTTTACTGCAGTGAGAAAAGAAAGAGGTGGTTTGGTCAGCTGAGCTAGGAGAAAAAAAAGCATTGCCAGATGTAAGAGACGGGCCATAGGACTGCTGAGATTGTTTTCCCCCTGTGTTATGTTTATGCAGATTCTGGAGGAGCTCTGCAGTGTTGGTGACCTCTCGCACGCCCTGTCATGTGAAGACTAATGTCATGTTCCTCAAGACACACAAGACCGCCAGCAGCACCATCTTGAACATCCTGTTCCGGTTCACAGAGAAGCATAACCTCACCATAGCCCTCCCAGCTGACCAGCTCGTCCACCTGGGCTATCCGGAGACCTTCATGACCAGCTTTGTAGAGGAATTTCAAGCCATAGGGCAAAATTACAATATCATGTGCAACCACCTGCGGTTTAACCGTTTGGAGGTAAGATCCATGGCTCCTGAGTTCTCCTGCTGAGAAATCTTGTTGAATAAGCAGTGTCTCCAGACTAACAGCTCCTCTTCTTCCCCTCCCCCTCTCCCCCAAACAGGTGCAAAAAG